AGACACTAAGATTGACAATTAACCAATTCTGAAATTAAGATGCTACTGGAAGGCAAATGACACAGTCAATCAGGCAAAATGGGAGAACACAGAATGGGAAAATATATTCACTAACCCCACATCTGACAGAGTGCTGATCTAAAAAATTTGCAAAGAACTCAAGAATCAAGTCTCCAAAACACGAAAGGATCCATTTAAAAAGTGTGGTACAGAACTAAATAGAGAATTCTCAATTGAGGAGTCGAAAATGACTGAAGGCACTTGAGAAAATCCTCAACATCCTTAGCCATTAAGGAAATGCAAATCAAAACAACTCTGACATACCATCTCACTCCTTTCAGAATGTCTAAAATCAAAAGCACCAATGACAGTTTATGCTGTAGAGGATGTTGAGAGAGGGGAACACTCCTCCACTCCTGGTGGGAATGCCAACTCATGCAGCTACGTTGGAAATTAGTATACAGATTCCTCAGGAATATAGGAGTCAGTGTACCACCACACCCAGCAATTCCACTCTTAAGCATATAGCCAAAAGATGCACATTTATAAACAAGGACATATGTTCAACCATGTTCATAGCAGCATTATTTGTAATAGCCAAAGCCTGGAAACAACCTAGATGCCCCTCAACTGAAGAGTGAATAGAGAAAATGTGGTACATTTACACAATGGAGTACTACTCAGCAGAAAAAAAACAATGGAATCTTGAAATTTACAGGCAAATGGATGGCACTAGAAGAAACCATGCTGAGTGAGGTAACCCAATCAAAAAAGACAAACATGGTATGTACTCACTCATATATGTGTTTTAGACATGGGTCAGGTGATTGCTAGCCTACTGCCAGAAAGTCTGGGAATCAGAAAGAAACCTAACAAAGCTATGCATGGTACTTCAGATCAAGGGAATGAAGAAAAATCTCTTCAGCATATTGGGATCAAGGTTGAGGGGACCAGAAGTTGTAAAAAAAGAGAGGATGAGAAAAGCAGAAGAGGGGAGTTCAGTGGGGACCAAGAAAGTTAAGTTGGGGAAAAGTAGGGGAGTAGAAGATGAGAAATACGATAATAGAGGCAGTCATTATAGGTTTGAGGAGAGTTCTGGCACTAGTGGGTCCTATAGTTATCTACAAGGATGACACCAAATGGCAAAGCAAGCAATAGTAGAGACATTATTTTATATGCCCATGCCTGATAATGACTTTGACTACGACCTTTATGTCATCCTGGACCCCTCATGTAGTGATTGATTGCAGCACAAGCACACACCAACAGCTAAATACTGAACTGACCTCCTGGAAATCAATGACAGAGAGGGAGGAGAGATAAGCAAAATGTGAAGAATGGGCAAGTGAAATGAACAAAAACAGCTGACCTGATCAAGGGGGAACACTTGGATATCATACCGAGAACTGGAAGTCCATCATCGGACTGATCCAGATGTCCTAAATGTGGTTGTCAGGGAAGATGACTGGGCAATCTATGGGGCCGTGGCCAGTAGATCAGTATTTATCATTGGCACACAAATGGACTTTGAGTGTCAATAACACAAAGAGGGATGGTCTCTCAGCCTGGACACCTAGGGGAGGGCTTAGGCCCTGCCCTAGGTGAAAAGATAGACTCTAGATATCCTCTATGGGGAAGGAATTAAGTACAATGTGGGAAGCTGGGTGGTGACTGGTGGGGGGTTGCTGGAGGTGGGGAGGGAGAGGGAGGTGGAATTGACATGGGAAACAAGCTTATTTCTAATTTTAAAATGTAAAAATTCAATATGCAAAATTATCAGCTATATTCCTATAGTACAATTGACAAACAGATTACAATAGAAATCAGGAAAATAATCTCTCTTACAATAGATTCAAAATGTAAAGTACCATGGGATAACTCTAACAAAGGAGATGACTTTTTGTTTAAATCTTTATGAAATTGAAGAAATAAATGTAGAAGACATTAGAAATTGGAATGATATCCAATGCTAATGGAATAGTAGGTTTAGTATAGAAAAAGTGCTGCCCTACAAAAACTATCTTCTGATTCAACAAAATTTTCATCAAACTTATTAAACTAATCTTTACAGCAATTTTAAAGATAATTTTCAGTGTCACATGGAACCACAAAATTTCCAGGAAAGCTAAAAGAAACTTCCATACATCTACGAACATCCAAGCATACAATGGGTTATCTCTCTTAGCCTAATTTTTTCTAATTCAATCCATTTATGTCAGATTTTTATTATTCCATTTTTCAAAAAGGTAAATAGTAGTTCATTGTTGAACACATTTATCTACTTATTTATCTGTTTATGAGCATCAAGGCTGTATCTAAGCAAGAATGAACATGAATGAACTTCCTATCAAATGAAATCTGTAAACATAATACAGATTCCATATTCTTAGTGAGACTCTGATGTAGGATAACCCAAACACAAAAAGTAAAATATTGTCCGTAATGCTTTTTACATGTAATGTTACCTTTTAAGCTTTCCATAGGCACTCTACCATAAATATGACAGAAGTTACATATAGAGTAAGAGATTAGTTGGGAAGAAAGGACAGCACAAGGAAGAAGAAATAGAATATATGTTTACAGTAAGAGAGAGAGGAGATGATAGTCAGAGGATTAAATGAAGAAATGGATAAAGAGGGTGGTAAGGAAAGGAATATGGTGAAGGACAACATCTGAGGGGTTATATGGAAACTTACTATTGTAAAATCATCTCAAAATACATAGAGAAAAGAAATCTAAATTGAATCAACTATGAGATAGATTTCTTAAGCTAGGGGAACTTGTAGTGGCAGGAATTGTTTATATATATTTCAATTATTGACCAAAGGACCTCTAAGATATTCATGCTATAGTCAAGGATTTTGCCTATCTGAACAATTAAAGTCTTCCATATCTCATTGAATAAGGAGATTTTTGTAGGTTTCAGAATGTGTGTGCTTGGTGCATACACATACTCATAAACATATACAAACAAAACTAAATAAACATAGTATATATTTGAAGACTTTGACATTCACAAAAACAATTTAACAATCAAAAATCAACTGTGTTCCCAAAAATAAGCTTGCATTAATCAGAACGCTAGGACATATTTCTTATATTCCTTATGTTAGGAAATTCTGGTGAGTAATTATGTTTGCCTGGAATTCAATTCCTATTAAAAGATTGTAGCATATACAAACTAACGTGATACAAAATAATTGTAGCTCCTCATGTTATTTTTTAATAATCATGATTACTGTGATATATAATAATCAGAGTAGAAGAATATGAATGGATTCAATTGAAGAGAGAAATAGAACAATATCTTTCATATATATATATATATATATATATATATATAAACACCTGTAAAGGGAACTTAATCAGAATCAATATAGATTATTTCCTTGTTTTGCTTTGAAGTATATATCCTTTATCTTTTACACATGTATGAATAAATATATTGAGAAAAAGTGCTGCATAATCAGTTATTTTAGTCTTTCATACTAAATATAACAATTTCCTAATCATGATGTTTTTCTTAATAAGAAGTAAAATCATCTTTGTAGGCCAATATCCTCTTTTATTATGGATAAGCCAGGAACTAAGAGCTCATGCAAATGAAAGCAGGCTCTTGGCACAAAAAGCCTAGCTACTCTACAGTAAAATGAGAGGTTCATAATGTGCAATAATGAATATTATTATTTTATTGGAAAAAATTAGTAAAAGAGTACATAATTACAGGCAGTATTATCTTTTATAAAGTAGAATGACCTCCATCCACCACAACAGTTATTATATCAACTAAAACATATCAAAAATAGTAATCTTGTTGATATAAGATATGGCCTTAGAGGCTTCTGAACAATAAAATGTTCTCAAATATCCTGTTTTGAATTGCTGTGACCATATTTACTATGTCATTTTCAAAATAAATGGCAAGATATCTTCAATCTCCAAGAGCATTGACCATCTAAAATCTCATCTTCTCCACTCTGATCTAGTTACTTCTTACCTCACCAAATTTTTAGAAAATCATAGTAATGTTATACTGATGACAATCCACTTTCACTAATGTTTTATTCCTCTTTTGTTTTTTCCATCAAGTGAGTTCCTACATGCCCTTTAGTATGTAATTCCCTTTCCTCATGTTGTATTCAATGTGATGTGCAAGTTATGGCCTTTCTCAATGGGTCCTTATTGAATGTATTCCTACTTCTCTGGTAACATCTGTGTGAGATAAAACACACATTATTTTCTTTAGAAGGTAACACATGGAGTTATTTTTCTTATATTAGACTAAGTATATCAAATGGACATGTCAGAACCATCCTTTAAACTTGAAGTATTTAAATCAATTAAGAAACAGTACTAAGTGTCTGCCAGCACAATCAATGTGTCTTCTTGAACACATTTTTAACTATGAAAGGCATATTGGAAATTTATAGAGAAAATCAATGATCATGAAATGTATTTCTGAGCATCAGGAAAATTAGTAGACACACACACACACACACATATATGTATATATATACACACACAAAAATATGATATTTATATATCAGAGAAACCATTGAAAATTCTAATTCTGACACTCCGGCACAGAATTAGCATCATCTAATATAAGCAAGAGTTGTGATTCTAACATCATATATGAAATTCCATTTATCATTTCTCATTGTAAGAGCACAGCTCAATTTCTATAATGCCATGAAGTATGATATCAATCCCTGATTAATAATCATCCTGAAGATTTAACATTTAAAATATGCATAGTGTGGAGTGATATAGACATGACATAAAAATAGCAAGAAAATTTACTTATTAAAAGTGGATGTTAAAATGAGGAAAGCCAAAAGTCTTATTTACCCCATTTGAGAAGCATAGAAATCAAGAAGAAAAGGTATTTTAAAAAGAACTTAAGAATGGACAAGAGTGATTAAAAGTAGAAATCAGAGAGAAGTTTCATTGAATCCATATAGCCTCAAAGTACTGTATGGAAACTCAAAGGCACTTACTGTAAGTAAAAATCCTCAAAATGGTTTGGCAGAATTTTATGAGGAATTTTATTGGCTGTGTAATAATAATAAAGAGGGAAAAATGCTCCAATCATTACATTTCCATCACGACGAAAGTCTTTGACTCTGAAATAGCACTCAGAGTCCCCAAACGCACAAACCAGATGGGGAATCTGCAGAATCCAAGGGATAGAACTCCAAGAGATCATTCTGTTAATACAAGTGACTTCCAATTCTTAAGATTGCTAGTTATATAAGACATAGTGTCCACCAGCTATATACTCAGTTTATGTGTTTTTGTGCAAGTGAACTTATAACTTTGTTGGTCACTGTATTTGTTAGCATAATCACACCAAATGGGGCCATATGGGGCCGTAAAGAGTTCTTCCCTTAGGCTCTGCATCTGATGCCCTGCATTTAAGTGAAAAGCAAGTTGAAAAAATGCTTATTGATCTTCAGCTGCATGCCTACGATGTAAGACAAGAGACAGCAAGACCTCAGGCATAGACATCTGGGGTGGATTTGACTACAAGTGTAAACAAAGAAGTTTTTAGTGTTGAAGGCACTGAGGATAATGCAAATATATTAGAAATGAGTATGGGGCCCAAAGAAAATGTCCATGTAACGAAAAGAATTTGACAAAAATAAGTTCTATTCAGATAAAAATAGTTCACATCATTTACATTTCTAATTTTCCTTCCTGATTACAATCAATTTTTATTCTTTCCTCCAAATATTTTTATTATTGCCTACTTTCCTATTCTGAGGAAAGTCACTAAGGTACTTTGATAAGATAAAGGAATTTTGTTAGAATTCTTTGAATTAATTGTGGAACTAGCTACCAGATGCATGGAGTTACACTGTACACAATTAAAACCTTGACTCCTAGAGATATAACTAAGGAGGTCAGCAATAAGTTTATTTTCTGTTTTCACTATCTAAATCAATTTTCCAGTAAATTGGAAAAGTGGTCGTTTATTCCTCAGTTTTCTAATTCTATAAGTGAGGGAACAAGGATATGCTTCTCCAATACCACTTTCCTGTTTGGAATCACCTGGACCGTGGCCCCCAGACACACACCACACTAAAATTTCCCAGAGAGTTTAGAGGAAGACCAAAGAATCCAGCATCTTGAGCAATCCCAATCTTGGACCTGCACCCACCCAAAGAGGAGAGTCTTGAACCCCCATACACCAGAAGAGGGAGACAGCCTTCGATCCATACACACCAGGAGAGGGAGAAACCATACCTGCACCAACTAAAAGAAGGGATGGGAAGATGATAGTATAAGAATACAGTCAACAACAGAAAAACTAATAAGCCTCCACCAGATTCTAGGGAATCTACAACAACAAGGTCTTAATATCCTAATGCAGATGAAACAGAAGAGAACCAACTTAAAATCAATTTTATGAAGATGATAGAGGCTCTCAAACAGGAAGTGAGAAAATTCATTATATAAATGGAAAAACACAAATAAAAAATGGAAGAAATGGAAGAAAAGACAAACCAAAAATGTAAGAAGTCACCAAATCTCTTAAAGAAAGCAAGGAAACACAAGAAAAAACAATCAAACAGATGAAGGAAGCAAATCAAACAGTTCAAGAACTGAAAGCTGAAATAGAAACAATAAAACACAAACATAGAAAATGATGGAAATAGAAAAACTGGGCAAATGATCAGGAACAACTGAAGCAAGCATGCCCAACAGAAGAAAAGATACGGAAGAGAGAATCTCAGATGTTGAATATACACTAGAGGAAATAGATTCATCAACCAAAGATCTTAAGTCCAACAAATCTTTAACACAAAATATCTAGGAAATATGGGCCACTGTAAAAGATGAAACTTAAGAATAGTAGGTGTAGATGAAAGCAAAGAAGCCCAGCTCAAATGTGCAGAAAAATAATTCAACAAAATCATAGAAAAAAATTTCCCAACCTAAGATAAACATTCCTCACCACATAATAATCAAAACACAAAACATACAGAATAAATAAAGAATATTAACAGCAGCAAAGGATAAAGGCCAAATAAGATATAAAGGCAGACCTGTCAGAATTACACCTGACTTCACCTTGGAAATTCTGAAAACCAGAAAGTCCTGAACAGATATTCTACAAACACTAAGAGACCACAGTTTCGAGCCCAGAATACTATACCAGCAAAACACTCCATCACTATAGATGGAGAAAACAAGATATTACATGACAAATCCAGATTTATACTGTACATATCCATAAATCCACCCATACAGAAAGTTCTAGACAGAAAACTCTTAAGTCAAGGATGTTAACTACACTCACAGAAACATAGCTAATAGATAATCCCACGTTACCAAGAGCCAAAGGGAAAAAAGAGGAAACCTTCACACAATAAAATCACCAGAAACAAATTGAAAAGCAATAAAAATAAACTATCAATGGTCATTAATATCCTTCAATATCAATGGTCTTAACTCTCCTAAAAATGACACAGGATACAAAATGGATACAAAAATAGAGTAGCCATTTCTATTGCATACAAGAAACATGCCTCAACTTCTAAGACAGATGCTACATCAGAGTAAAAGGTTGGGAAATATTTTCCAATCAAATGTGCCTAAGAAACAAGCTAGTGTAACTGTCCTAATATTTAATAAATTAGAATCCAAGTTAAAATTAATCAAAGATTTGAAAAAGGCCATTTCACATTCATCACAGGAAAAATCCATCAGGAAGAAGTCTCAATTCTCATTATGTACCCCAAATAGAAAGGCATACACATTCATAAAAGAAATATTAGTAAAACTCAAATAACACATAAAACCCCACATACAGTGAAGAATTCAACACCCCACCTCATTATTGGACAGGGCTACCAGACAAAAACTCAACAAAGAAATAAAAGAACTAAAAGAAAATTTGACCCAACTAGATTTTACAGACATCTATAGAAGATTCCATTCAAACACAAAGGAGTATACCTTCTTCTCAGTTCCAGATTGAAATTCTCTAAAATCTAACACATACTCCGAAATAGCAAACTTAACAGATTAAAAAAAGGAATAACCCACTGTATCTTATTGATAACCACGGTTGAAATTTATAATTCAGCAACTCAAATTGGAGAAAGCCTTCAAACTCATACAAATTGAACAATGCTCAATTTCATCAATCCTGGGTCAAGGAAGAAATAAAGAAAGAAATTAAAGTTTTCCTAGAATTCATTGAAAATGAAGGTACAACATACCAAGACTTGTGGGACACTTTGAAAAGAATGCTAAGAGGTAAGTTCATCGCACCAAGTACCCACTTGAAGAAACTGGAGAACAGTCACACTAGAGAATTTACAACACAACTGAAAGCTCGGGAACACAAAGAACAAAACTCATCACAGAGTAATAGATGCCAGGAAATAATCAAATTGAGGTCTGAAATCAATAAGGAAGCAACGATGAAAACAATACAAAGAATCAATGAAACAAAGATTTGGCTCTTTGAGAAAATCAACAGGATATACAAACCTATATCCTAACTTAGCCAATGACAGAGTGTGAACATGAAAATTAACAAAATCAGAAATGAAAAGTGGAACATAACAATGGACACTGAGGAAATCCAAGGAATCATCAGGTAATACATTGCCAACCTGTATTCCACAAAATTGAAAAATGTAAAGAAAATTGACAATTTTCTGGATATATGTCACCAAAATTAAATCAAGAACAGATAGGCAATTTAAATAAACCTATAATCTGTAATGACATAGAAGCAGCCATTAAAAGTCTCCCAACCAAATAAAAAGCACAAGGCCAAATGTTTTCAGTGCAGAATTCTACCAGAAATTCAAATAACAACTAATATGAACACTCCTCAAAGTGTTCCATGCAATAGAAATAGAGGGGCCAGTGCCAAACTCTTTTGAATATTCCACATTTACCTTGGTACCCAAACCACACTAAGACACATCTAAGAAAGAGAACTACAGACCAATCTCCCTCATGCACATTGATGCAAAAATACTCATTAAAATACTTGTAAACCCAATGCAAGACCACATCAGAAAATTCATCTATCATGATCAAATAGGCTTCATCCCAGAGATGCAGGGATGGTTCAACATGTAAAAATCCATCAATGTAATATACCATATAAAAAAACGAATAAGAAAAATCACATTATCATGTCACTTGATGTTGAAAAGGTATTCGAAAAAATCCAAAACCCCTTCATGATAAAGGTCCTGGAGAGATCAGGGATAACAGAAATAAACATAAACATGATAAGAGCAATTTACAGCAAGCCAACAGCCAATATGGAGGGAAATTCATAGCCATTTCAAAAAAATCTGGAACAAGACAAGGTTGTCCAGTCTCTCATTATATCTTCACTATTTTGCTCAAAGTTCTAGCTAGAGCAATAAGTCAGCAAATGAAGGTCAAGGGGATACATATTAGAAAAGAAGTCAAATTTTCACTGTTTGCAGCTGATACAATAGTTTACATAAGTGATCTGAAAAATTCTACCACGGAACTCCTACAGCTGGTAAATACATTCAGCAAAATGTCAAGATACAATATTAACTAAAAAATCAGTACCTCTACTTTATACAGATGATAAGTTGACTGAGAAAGAAATCAGAGAAACCTTACCCTTTACAATAGCCACAAACAACATAAAATATCTGGAGGTAGCACTAACCCAACAAGTGAAAGATCTGTACATCAAGAATTTTGAGACACTAAAAAAAAATAAGAAGAACCCAGAAAATGGAAAGAATTCCCATGCTCTTGGATAGGTAGGACGACCATACTAAAAATGGCAATCTTGAAAAAACAATCCAGAGATTGAATGAAATCACCATCAAAATCCTAGAACAATTCTTCACAGACCTGGAAAGAATACTCAACTTTATATGGAGACACTAAAACACCAGGATAGCAAAAACAACCCTGTACAAAAACTTCTGGAGTCATCACCATCTCTGACTTCAAGCTCTACTATAGAGCTATAGTAAGGAAAGCAGCTTGGTATTGGCACAAAAAACAGACAAGCATGTCAATGGAATATTAATCCACATGCCTATGAATACCTGATTTTTCATGAAGAATCCTAACTTATACAATGGAAAAAGTAAATCATGTTCAATGGTGCTAGCATAACTGAATGTAATGTAAACATGTAAACGTTTATAGATATATCCTTATGTATTACCATGCACAAAAGCA